TTTTTTTTTTTTTTTATAACAGAAATAAAAACAGACACCGCTATGTTACTAATTGTGCCCTTAGTCTCATAAAAGATTTTTGTTCATAACATCATAGGGTATTCACAGTCATCTGCAATGAAATGGCAACAAGAGAATGATATAGAATATTCTCCTCATGATGGGATCCACACAAACGTAGCCTTTGACAAACATGCTAGCTCTGTCTTCCTCGGACACATATAACTTGGTGATTTATTTTTGTTCATACTGCGTGGTCTCCTCAGGCCGGCCCTGAAATTTATGAGGCCCTAGGCAATAAATCGTCATGAGGCCCTTAAATATAATTTTTTTAGTAAGCATAGAAGTCTCTTTAATATCAATTATGATAAATTCAAATTCAATTTCTCTATAGCTTTTAAAAAGAGAAATGGGAACTTTTAATATATATATACACACACACACACTACTTATAAATTTTAAAGAAATTTTATAAGGTTAGGAAAATATTTTATTATTATTATTATTATTATTATTATTATTATTATTATTATTTTTTGGTTAGATCTTGTCATCTTGGTAGATAGAAAAATACAACAAAATATATCACTAGGTAATAGTTTAATTATAGATCCATTATATCTTAAAAAAGAATGTAAGTTAAATGACCCACGTAATTTGGGCCTCTTATTTAGACCAATATTGCTGTTGTATTTTAAAGGGCTAGAGACCCAACCTAAAAAAAAAGGAAATATTTTGTTGAGTCTTGGGAGTTTTAATTTTTCTTTTGAAGCCCCTTCAAGTTGGAAGCCCTAGGCAACGGCCTTGATTGCCTTGGGCCAGGGCCGGCCCTAGGTCTACTGGGATGACATTGTTCCTCAGTTAATAGCAATGATATTGATAAACATCTTGCTTGTCTACGTGCTTCTTGTTTCATGGGTCCAGTTTTATTGCTGTCTTCATGATGATCAACTAGACAAATATGTACTTCTAGCAAAAATAAAGGACAAAATAAATTGTGCATATAAACAATCTTATTTTGCCACTGCATTCTATATTTCAAAATTTTCCTTTCCAGATGCTTTATGTATGTAGTTACAGAATAAGAAAATGGGCCTAAAACTTGGATCATTATAACATTTAGTATCGGCATTACACGTTTCTTGATAGAAGCATGGCAAAATATGGTCAAAAAACATATACCAAGAAAGCAATCTAGTTTGAGTGAATGTTAGAAAAAAATGAAAAAAAGAAAGAAACCAACTGCATATACATGTATATGTACACACACTGGAAAAGGAAATCATGCTTAAAAAGAAAGGCCTTACAGTAGCACTGTTGTAATATAGGTCAGGATTGGACTCCATTCTTTTATCTTTTTCCTGAATGTTACATTACATGCTTTTTTAGAACCCATAACAAAAGACAGTAATACAAAGTATAGTTAGATTTGATATATAGCCAAATAAAGGATGATACTCACAGCATGTTGGTATGCTTTTAATGATTGCAAAAGTTTGCTTTGGTCCCAAGCTCCACTCACAAAGAAGGAAGTAAGGCACGCATTGCCAAGGTTATCTGTCAACATGATTAGACAGTGTTGAAGAACCCAAAGAATACAATATACAAAATGAAGTTCGATTTAAAAATTATGAGATATTATGGAATGACACCATATGCACTCAGCTGGGTTGTATATTAGCAAAAAATGTCTAGTGATAAAAATTTTGATGATTCAAATCAATCGTGGACTATATCCTACTATTGAACAGAACCATCGGCTAACGTAGATCTAATAGACCCTTACACCAAGAGTTTCCATCCTTGACATCCAGAGTAACTGCTTCCTTTGCATGCTTCACACTTTCTTCAACAATTTCTGCCTGGTTTTCAGTACCTGGAAGGAAGACAGAAAATCAGATAAATAATATAAAGCTATAAATTACCTGTGCCATGAAAAAAAATAGCTGATATGAAAATTCTTCAGATTTGTTCTTGTACCTGAAAGAAGTATCTAAGCAAATCCATGCTACAATTTTTAAATAGATACATCACCATACCCATATTTCTACTGCTATAAACATCAAAAATGTTATCCACTTGAATAGAAAGACGAGATACTATTCTAGCAACTTGTTTATGTCATTTATTATCTTCCTATCTGAGAATTAAACAGATAATTAACAATACTCAAATTTTGTTTCAAATCAATGATTCAGTTAATCCTAGTGGGACTTATTTAGATAATTGAACGACTAGCACTTATGAGCTCATTCTGGAAGGAGAATCCTGGAATAAAGGAAATTTACTGCTGAATCAAGAATTTGAAGAAAATAAAATCCTAACTATCGGGAAATTAATAAAATACATGTTTGATTCCTTAAACATCCCCAATCCGTGTAACAAAATGTCTTTTGGGCACCCTTAGGGTGAGTAGAGGTATGTCAAATAGAACCACCTAGAATAATTCTCTTTCTACTTTACAACAAATGAAAGTTATGGTATAAAAGATGACAAAAAATCAATTTATTGATGAGAACTGAAGCCAAAAGGCAGTAATATTTTATTGTTGAGGTCTCAACTGCCTGTGTCCCCTTGTAGCCCTCTCCAAGTTCAGGAAAAGGAAAATGATCTTGGTAGGTTGACAATCAACCATCAACTTTTGTGAAAAATAGGCGAGGGTTAGCTATGGTGGAAGTCATAAAAGTAGAAGTATGTTGACAATTAAAAGTGCTGAAAATTAACAGGGGGTTTCTACGCTCTAATTGATGGGGTGGATAGAAAAAGTTAGTCAAAAACAATAGAATTAGTAAAGAAACTAGGAATACTAGGAAATGTACAGGAAAGTCAACATAACACATGAGGTTCATAAGCAGAAGAGAAGGTAAACGAGAGAACATGAGATATAAATTTTCGCACCTGACAAAGAATAAAAGTTGTATGAAGAAATGTAGAACCAAGTTTTCAGGAGAAGAACCAACTAATGCTATTAACTTGTGTGCTAAACAAGATAGATAAGGTAACAAAGAAACTGTTTAGGGATGAAACAAATAGTAGATTTGGATGGTCCCTCCTCAAGATAACAACTTTGTTCGAGGGGATTTGAATGGTAATGTGAGCAAAGGGAACTTGAGTTAATATATGGAGTGTACAGAAAATTTTAAATTCCGCAGCCAGAATGAACAACAAGACACTATTTTAGAATGACTTATGATTGTATTAGCAAATGGGGAGAAATAATGATTGTAGAATGAATTGCTGAAACTATATCAGTTGCATAGTGATCCATCTCCATACATAACAGGAGATAAATTAGCTGCAAAAGAATTATTTCGTGTGATATTTGATAGATGTAACATTAGATCAAATACAATAACAAATGATTAATATAGCTACTAGCTACCAAGTTTATTAGGAATAAGTGTTAGCTTTTCATTGGTCTTGTATTGTTCAGATGCCATGCCCTTCAAACAAATTATGCAATTCTCAAAATCCAAAACTAAAATATCATGTTAAACGAGATTCAGTGATAGACCACAAGTCCTAACAGGATTCATCAAAACCACAAAATAATATGTAGTAGTATGTGCAGAAACAAAAAAATAGCAGGAAAGCAACTTTACTCTTGCCTTGAGCCATTCTTCTTTCAAGCATTGATAACTGAGAAAGTATCCTTTTATTTGGGCCCTATTCAACACATTAAGAAATCATGCTCCCATCAGAAATTGCCAAAAGTCCAATCCTCTTTCTTTTTTGTATTCAAGAAATTACCGTAACCATGATACAGACCTTGCTTAGGGCAAGTGTATAGCAATTCTTTGCCGAAGCTAAATCGCCCTTCTTCCAAATGCAATTTCCCAAACTTAACCAAGCATCTATAAGTGATGGATTCAACTTCACCTGTAAAGCAAAATAAGTAATAACACCTAAAAAATTTCAGACAATAGAAGAAGCCTATGACATCAAAACGATAGAACCAGTTAGATACAGACCTTGCTTAGGGCAAGTGTATAGCAATTCTTTGCCGAAGCTAAATCGCCCTTCTTCCAAATGCAATTTCCCAAACTTAACCAAGCATCTATAAGTGATGGATTCAACTTCACCTGTAAAGCAAAATAAGTAATAACACCTAAAAAATTTCAGACAATAGAAGAAGCCTATGACATCAAAACGATAGAACCAGTTAAAAATAATGATAATCTACGTAAAATCAAGAAGAAAACTATTAATTTATATCCAAAAAATAAAAAAATAAACCAACCAACAAACTTATTTCTTGACTTACAGCTTTAGAGAGATGATCCTCTGCTTCTTTCTTATACTCAGGAAACACATCCAATATTTTTCCTCTCAAATACTCATAAGTTGCTCTTTGCATTGGCGATTTCCTCTTCTCTGCAACATTAATAAATAAAAAGTCGATACACATAAATACTATTAACATCAAAAAATCGTTTAATATAGTTATACCTGGAGGAATTGAATCGAGCAGTTGGAGGGCGAGAGTTGAGTCTGTGTTAAGTTTGGAGGTTTTATCATCTGGGTTAGGCGGAAAATATGTTTCCCGAATGTTGTAGAGCTCATCGGCAGCTTTTGATGCCTCAGCGAACAAATCTTGTGGGTTTACTCTTCTTTCACTGCTCATTTTTGTCGCCGATTATCAACAGCAGATACGTCTATGGTTATAGTCTATCAGAGTTTTTTTTAACGATGCTAACGTCAAATCCCTGTGTTATGAGTCTGTCTTCCATTGTTATACTGTGTCGTTTTGCTGTTGACCGGGTTGTAGTCGTAGGCCGAATAGTGGGTAGTTATTTCATGAGGAAATTAGATTGGAGACATTTTTATGTAAAAATGTATTTTTGAATAGTAAATTGATGTTAAATGTGTAGTTGAAAAATAGGAAAAAAATTTTGATTTACGTGTAATATTATTTTAATAAAGAATGTGTGATTGAAAAGAAAAGAGAGAAATGCATTTTGAAAAAAATGAATACCAAGCAGGGCCTAAATACCCTAAATATGAGGTAATTTTGAAAAATCATGTGGAAAGTTGTTATGAAGTATAAAATACTGTATTTTTAAGTATTCTACAGCTTCATATTAATTGCCAAAAAAAAAAATCACAAAACCAACTAATCTCACATACCCACTTAAGCACATTTATATACGTACATAAACCAACAAAAAACTTACNCGAATAGTGGGTAGTTATTTCATGAGGAAATTAGATTGGAGACATTTTTATGTAAAAATGTATTTTTGAATAGTAAATTGATGCTAAATGTGTAGTTGAAAAATAAGAAAAAAAATTTGATTTACGTGTAATATTATTTTAATAAAGAATGTATGATTGAAAAGAAAAGAGAGAAATACATTTTGAAAAAAATGAATACCAAGCGGGGCCTAAATACCCTAAATATGAGGTAATTTTGAAAAATCATGTGGAAAGTTGTTATGAAGTATAAAATACTGTATTTTTAAGTATTCTACAGCTTCATATTAATTGCCAAAAAAAAAATCACAAAACCAACTAATCTCACATACCCACTTAAGCACATTTATATACGTACATAAACCAACAAAAAACTTACGTTTCATTCATTCTTTAAAATGGATTTTCTTGAATCGGTGAAATCAATTGATTGAGAGCAAGAATCGCACCCAGAAAATGAAGATTTCATAATCCTTCCATTTTTCGCTGTCTTTTTCCTGTAATTCGATTTTTACTCAATGGATTTGTATTTGAGGTATCGTATTGTAGATCCTTGAATAAATTATACAAACTTATAGCTGGATACTTGTTTTTTGATATATTGGATATTATGCTTTGGATTGATGGATATGTAATTTTTTTTTTTTCAAATAATCGTTCGATGCAATCAGTTAGTCTACCGTTTTTTATGCAACAATTTGGGGATTTGACACTTCTTGTAGCCATTTTATACTTCGTCACTTTTCTTAAATTTTTGTCATTTTTTTTTTTTTTTGTATTTATCACTTTTTTTAAAATTGTCATTTTTCTTTTAGTGTTTGTAACTTTTTTTTTCATTCACCTTATTAATTTCTATCATTTTTTTTTATTGACAAACGTCAATTTTTAATAAAATTGATATTTTATGTTATTTTTTAAATTAAAAAAATGACAATTAACTTTTAAAAGTGGACATTGTGTCACTTTTTTTATTAAAAAAATGACAATTTTTTATAAAAAAGTGGCATTGTGTCACTTTTTAATATAACAAAGTATTTTTACTTGAAAAATAATTTTTAAATAATTTTTCAAAAGATCCCTAATTTTAAAGATATTTTTGTAAGTTGCCCAAAGGATATTTTTTTATATGTATTACTAGAAAACAGGGTATGAATTGGCATGTTCAAACTTTCAGAAAAGCACACGTATGTATCCAATTAATTGCTTCAATGATAAAGTGTGACTGTTTTAGAGAAAGGTCACAGAATGTCACTTTTAGAAAGGTCACAGAATGTCACTTTTACGTAAAAAAGTGACACAATGTCACTTTTTTTAAGAAAAGTAACAGAATGTCACTCTCTGCATGTGCAAACACATTGCACGCATCCATATAATTGATTCAAAGTTTTCATTTTCATATGTATTCTCAAATAACAAGGCATGAATTTGTATATTTAAACTTTCAAAAAAGCACATGTATGCATCCGAATAATTGTTCCAATAATAAAGAATGACGTTCTTGAAGAAAGGTAACGAATGTCACTTTTTCTTTGAAAAGTGACAAAATATCACTTTTTTTAGAAAGGTGACAGAATGTCACTCTTCATAATCAAACATCTTGCAAGCATCCATATAGTCAATTCAAAGTTTTCTTTTTATATGTGTTACCAAAAAACAAGGTATGAATTGGTATATTCAAACTTTCAAAAAAAAACACGTATGCATCCAATTAATTATTCCAATGATAAATGGTGACTGTTTTGGAGAAAGGTCACAAAATGTCACTTTTTCTAAGAAAAGTGACAGAATTCTACTTTCTCACCTTCTCCTATGAGCAAACACATTGCAAGTATCAATGCAATTGGTTCAAAATTTTCTTTCTCATGTGTATTACCAAAAAATATGGTTTGAATATATACATTCAAATTTCCAAAAACTCACACATGCATATCGAGCTAATTGCTCAAGAGAGATGCTGCGACTTTTTTTGAGAAAAGTGACGAAATGCCACTTTTTCACCTTCTCGTTTGAATAAACACATTGCAAGCATCAATACAATTGGTTTAAAGTTTTCTTTCTAATATGTATTACTAGAAAATAGAGCTTGAATATGTACATTCAAATTTCAAAAAACTCACACATGCATACCTAGTTAATTGCTCAAAAGAGATGCTGTGACTTTTTTTTAAAAAAGGTGACAGAACTCCACTTTCTCACCTTCTCCTTTGAGCAAACACACTGCAAGCATCAATGCAATTGGTTTAAAGTTTTCTTTCTCATATGTATTACCAGAAAATAAAGCTTAAATATGTACGTTCAAATTTCCAAAAACTCACACGTGCATACCTAACTAATTGCTTAAAAGAAATGCTATAACTTTTTTTTTTTTTAAAGTGATAGAATGCCACTTTTTTCACATTATCTTTTTGTCAAACACCTTGCAAGCATCAATATAATTGATTCAAAACTAATTTTTCATATATATTGACATAGTCCACTCAACTTAAACAATTTTATTTTTATACATGTTTCCAATCAAATTAATAACATCGTCAAAAAGAAACTTCATAAATGTTATTTATACATTATGAGATTTAAACTAAATCTAATCATGAAATTCAAAAAAAAAAAGAGATGAACAATGAGCTATAATCATGGAATTCAAAACAAAGAAATACCTGTAATTTTGTTTGTGTATTTGTCAAAGATCTCCTAGACTTTTTTTTCCAAATTTTTCAATGTTTTTGTGGATGGTTTCCTCGATTTGAAGAATGAACAAACTTTGTTTACGTATTTGTGGAAGATTTCCTCTTTTTCCTTTCAATTTTTCTTTGATTTTTTCATATTGGAGGCTGATTTATGAGGATTGTCGTGAGTTTATGTTTTGAGCGTATATTTCACGTTCAATTTTAAGTAATTACCATTTAATCCAAGTTTATAATGTTTTTTCAAAACAACCCAAAAATATAGGGTATTTTTGTAAGTACCCTTTATTTCATTTTGTTATGGGTTAGTTATTGTTTACTGGGTCAGTTGTTTATTTTCGTAAGTAATGGGCTATGCCCCATGTCGTGTAACAGGTCATTGTCCGTGGCCTATGCTATTTCAATTCAATGAAAAGATCACCATCAGTTTAATCAAATTTACAGACTTACAGGAGGCCTGGTAACCTCGAATTACTACCCATTTATTTACTTACTATTACGTAATTTTGGGGCATAACAGTGGTATCAGAGTTGCGTTTCTAGCGCCACGGTTGACGGTACTCGCCATGCTCAATTGGCTGATGCTATCGCAACCCTCAAAGGAGAGAACAACAACCTGCATGAAGAGCAAGAACGGCAAAAGGACATGTTAGCTGCAGTTCTTCAGCAAATTAGTAATTTGGCTTCTAGCTATGAACATTTGGCAGCAAATCAAAATTCAGGAAAAGGGTCTTCTAATTCTAAGGTCAGTAGCAATCCTTTGTTTGAAGGGAATGGGGGCATTCAAGCTAGATCTTTAAGACTGGATTTCCCTAAATTTGATGGTACTAATCTGGAGCAATGGACTCAAAAAACACAACAGTTTTTTGAATATTATATAACCCCAGATGACCAAAGATTACAAATAGCATTCTTTCATATGGAAGGTAAAACACTCTCATGGTGTAGCTGGCTAAAGGATTCAAGCCCAGTCCAATCCTGGGATGACTTTGTTTCACCCCTAGTAGTGACATTTGGACCCTCGGCCTATGAGGATACTGTTGGGGAATTCACTAAACTTAAACAAATTGGTACTGTTGAAGTATATCAAACACAATCTGAAATGCTATCTAACAAAATAAGTGGCTTATCTGAAGAGTTTAGAATCAATACCTTTTTGAGTGGGCTAAGAGATGACTTGAGAATCACGGTGACTATGTTTAAACCTTCCACTCTATCATCTGCTTTTGGCTTGGCAAGGTTACAAGAAGAGGAGGTGTTAATGTGTGTCAAAGGCAACATAAATAAATTCCCTACCTACCCAACCACCAACTCACATTACCCATCTAGACTCCTGATGCCAGCCCCTATACTTAGACTGCCAGCCCTACCAGATAAAACCAACCAGAAACATCAACCTTTCAACAATCCAAAAAGAACCAATATCCCCATAAAGAGAGCCAATCCCACTCAAATGCAAGAATGGAAAGGGGTAATTAGCACAAAACATCCCTACCTTTCGATGTTTTTGTGGAAAACGTCCCTATCTTTCATTTTTTGGTGGATTACACCCTTACCTTTACATTTTTTTGCGCAAAACGTCCTTCTGTCAACTCTCCGTTAAAATGCTCCGTTAAATCAAAAAGGTAATTAGCACAAAAGGTCCCTACCTTTCAAAGTTATTGTGCAAAACGTCCCTACCTTTTATTTTTTAGCATAATTAGCAGAAAAGGTCCCTACCTTTCAATATTATTGTGCAAAACGTCCCTACCTTTCATTTTTAGCATTTTCACCCCTACCTTTCACCTTTCATTGCAAAAAAGGTCATTCTCATCCATTTTTTCAATAAAATGACGATTTTACCCTCCTATTCAAATAAAACAAAAAGAAAAGATGAATTACCAACTGCAACCATAATCCTT